CCTCGCGTGTGTCATTCCCTGCAGGCGTCCCCCCTCCCCGCGTGCGCATCCCTGCATCCTTGCATCCTGCTCTGCACCTGCCCCTCCGAGCGCTTATCTTTCCCTGCAGACCTTTCCCATAGGAGCGGCACTTTCACGGTCGTGCCCTCCGTTTTGCGCTGGGCCCGCACACAAACAAGCCCGTCTCTATTTACCGTTAATATTGGTAAGGATAAAAGTGATGTAAGAAGGAGGAGGGGATGCTAACCCAGTTTTACAGATGGCAAACTGAGCCACAGGGAGATGAAGGTGCCTGCCTTGGACCGCCTAGGGAATTCAGAGATGGAAAGGAATGGTACAGCTCTCAGATTTCAGCTCAAAGCAGTTTCCATCCATGAAACCCTATTCCCTTTAGTGCTAATGCAAGGTATTGCTTGACGCAGGGATGTGTCAGGCAATACAGTACACCTTTTTGGGTACCTACTCTCAACATGGTGCTTGCAGTTACTTTGAAATTTCCCCTGTTTCCACAGGGTTCCTGGGCTCAACAGCCTCAGTGGAGATGAGAAATGCTCTGCTCTGGAAATAGCAGTCAGCAGAAAGAGGATCATTGCTGCTTGTGGAGCTGCAGAGCATCTGTGCCACATAGTGGAGCAACTCTGATTTTGTCAGGCAGAGGACGAGAGTAGTCAACACACTATTAACCACTGTGTTATGAATTCAAAGTTTTTCAACAATTTCTTGTTTAACTTCTACAGGTGCAGCTTACTATGCTTTACTTTAATAAGGAAGGACATGGCATTCACCAAAGGACTTGCAGGATGGCCCAGGACAAGGATACAGAGGAACAGGACACCAAAAAGGCCTGAAGAGTTCTTGGGATAAAGCTGAGGAGCTGCAGGTTGGTTGTGATTTCATATTGTATGGGCAAAGACTTTGAACTGTGTTTATCCCCATGCTGATGAGTACACAGAGTAATGATGCATCTACAGCATGTGGGCAAATTCCACCAATAAACCATATGGACTAGTCTGATCTCATTCATTCATCATCATGATAGTCTGCAGGGGATGGTTATAAAGCTTGGTAATTAGTTATGTGAAACATCCTCAGTCCAGGGAACAGCTCTCTGCTGGGGCTAACCATTCATACTTGCTGTAGCAGTGTAGCCATGGCTGTGCTCCCTCCTCATGGAAAATATTAAGCTGGTAAGCATATATGCCAGGTAAGGTGTGGGCTTCTCCAAATTTTTGGCAGGTGGCTATTTCAACCTTCATTGGGACTGTATCTGGGCTTTGATCTCCTCAGGTTTCCTTGTCAATCTTTGGGAGCCTCATAAGGAGGTGGTCTCCCACAGGTAAGTAAAAAGGGATTAATCTGGAGTTTTTTAAAAGCAGCTGGATGTGACTTTAGGAGACATTAACACACACTGTCCAAACATGGAATCATATCCCTACCTCATGAAGAGTAAAGGAGATTTGGGATGGGGCAGGAGGATATGACTGGATGAGTTGAAGAGGATCGCTGCTGCTGAGTCATTTTTACAGACGCAATTGTAAAACGTAATTCTCTGTTGGCTAGGTACGTCTAGAAATCTATGTGCTCAGGTGGAGCAGTGCTATAACGTTACGTTCCTGCTTTAATAAACATTTTCCTGCTTTGCATCACTGCTAATGATAGCAAGAAATGCTGGACAGTGGAAAATTGGGACTACAGATTGTGCAGGTGGAAATATTTTTATCACTTCAACAAATTTTTCTGTATATCTTTCATTGCTTATGTATTAATTACTTTCTTCCCATCCAGATTTAAAGCTGCCCATACCTGGATTCCTTCCTGCTCTTCTTGTGAGAGCTATTTCACAACCTACTGCAGCTCATTGGTAAAATCTTGTAAGTCACTTTCTGCTTTGGTTTTCTCACTCTTCGTTTTATCTTCTCTAGTAAGTAATTTGCACTCCCTCCTGCTTGGGCATATGCCTACAAATGTTTGTAAACTGTTTCCATATCCCCTCAGAGACAAGGAACTCATACTGTCATCACAAATCAATGCCTTGTAGTTGCACAAGGAGCTATCACCTTTCTTATCTCCTCCCAGTGTGTCAGGCTCTCATGGTAGCCACAGCCCTGAACAGAGCAGTGGGCTTCTGCCCAGCACTTCCCTCTGTGCTGCCTTGGCATAGTAGCTGTGTGCACAGTCCTAGTGCCTGTGTGTTGCCTTTCTCTTCTCTGACTAATCTCTTTGTGTCCCCTTCTCTGATTTTCTAGCTCTCCTAAGGTTAGATCAACACAGTTTGACTTTCCAGAACTCTTCTCCCCTCTGCCAAGAGGAACTTTAGTTAGTGAATTATTATTCCTTGCTAAATAGCTTTTGTTTTCCAGGTTGAATCCTGTCTTCATCCAATTTGCAATTTCTACTCTCTGTCTCAGGCTATGTTTACACCGTTGTTGGGAGGATCCCGACCTAGCTGCTCAAGCTCACAGACTACTCTCTCTGTTTAGATTCTTCCTGGTTTTGCACCAGAATATTCCTGCACCTTCCCGAGCCCTGAGAATAGGGGGAAAGTGCCTTGGGGAGAGGAGAGTAAGGAGCTCTTTGACACAGCTTTTGCTGGTGTCTCCTAGGCATAGTGTCCTTCTCTTCCTAGCTGTTGCTGGGGTTCAGGCACCAAACATCTGCCCAAACATGTCCCTTCCCTGCCCAGATACAGCTCCTGCACCTCTCCCAGCACACACCAGAGCCTCTCCAGCACAACCTTCTTCTGCCAGCTGGATGGTTTAAGCACTAGTTTAAGATTTTATTGAGGCACTCAATCCAAGGCCTTACTGATTCCCATCGCCATTCTACCCTTGGTCCCTTCCCTCTGAACAGCCACTTGTCACATGCCATAATCCTTTGTTTACAGTCCTGCAGCCCATCCACTTGAGTGACTTTGCAGCCTGCTAAGTGATAATGCTGAACATAAAGTTCCATGAGACTTTACACACTGAGCTTGCCTGATAGCCAAGGTCCAAAACCCAGCATGCCACAAGGTCAGTGTAACAACCTGACAAAAGCCAAAGTTCTCCTCTGTGAGATTTCACTGTTGCCTCCTTTTTTACATCTTTGACTTTGATCTTTGTCACTCTGTGCTTCTTCTCTGCCTGCACTCCTAGCACTGCCTGGATTTCCCTTCCTCCACTGGTGGCAGGATGGGCATTTGCTCTCCTGCTGCCACAGACTGCCTGCTGGGGAGATGCAGGCAAGGCCTCCCTCCTCCCCTGGGTCATAGGTGCTGTTCTTCAGCCTTCCTTCCAGGCTGCTCCTGTGCAGTGAAGGAACAGCACCCTGAGCAACTTCAAAGTAACTGCCCAAAGCTGAGGCACTGTCCCCATCGCTCACAGCCCAGAGGCTCTGCTTAATGTGTCATCTGTGGCTGGGCCTCAGCCACTTCATGTGAGTCTCTAGGGAAATAGAGCTTCTGGCTGGGGCAGATGCACAGAGCAGGGAAGCAGAGAAGAGAGGGGATGTGAGGAGGTAGCTGGGGATGGTGACATATGGTGAGGGGCAGTGCAGAGGGCTACTGCCAGAAGCCAAATGTTTGGCAGCCACTGGGAACAGACTTGCACTACAAATACTATATCCTTCACTCTAATATAAAGCTGGAGTCTAAGGCCAGTGTGCTGACAGTGAGTTGTTATTTGTGTTCATCTTGCTGGGTAACACCATAGTGTATGGTGTTTACTGTCTCATCAAAACCAGTTAGTCCTTAGTAATGAAAAGGTTTTGTTGGTCCCTGGTTGAAAGGATTTGCAAAGAGTTGTCTCTCTGTGTATTAAGGACTGGAAGCAGTGTTGCTGCATGGATGCTGTCTTGGGGTCAGACTGAACAGCTCTCTTGTATTTGGGAGAACCTATTCAGTTACCAGGGCTGTTTGAAAAAAAAAAATATGGCAGGCTGGCAATGAACATGAGGGGAAAAACCTTGTCACTGCATATTTCCATGGAAACAAGTATAGATGTGAGAGAAGATTTAATTTGCTTCTAGGGATATTCTGTTGCCAGTGGTTATTTCTGGAGAAATTAGAATACTGGTGTATTTTTGCCCAAACCAAATCCCAGATGTGGCTGTTGAGCCTCATGCACTCAGTTCTTCTGGTCAGGCTTGGCTTTTTATAGAGAGCTCATGGGTCGTGAGGGAGTTACAGAGCCCTTGCACATAGTGATAGATTTGGCCCCGTGGGCATAGAGCAAACTTAAGATGAGGTAAATGGATACCTGACATTAGTATGAGGATGTCTTTGGTATGAGAGGTCAGAGTACACCACTGGAGTGATCCATGCAGGACTACAAACTACATATCCATGAACTACTATCCATATACAAATAGTGCAGTGACCCAGAATAGTCTGTAATAAGCAAGTGCCATTGAATGTAAACTCAACAGGAGTTGTAACCTAATGCTGGTTACATTTTCAAGCTGAAGCTGAAATGCAATTACATTCCATTCATTTACTTGGAAACTGTTGGTTTTGAGCAAATGATCAGTCTTGCATGCTGCTTCAGTTTCCAAGCTGCGCTATTGATTCTAGCACAACCTGGAAATCACAACATGAAGCTATTGAAGAACAGTGGGGAATATGACATTGCTGGTGATGCACTTCAGGGGAAGTAAAATGCAAAGTGTAATCAAACAGAACACATTGTCAGATTAAGACTGGAGATTTTAAATTATTTTAGTTTTAACTAATCTGAGGTGTTTATTAGCTGAATAGTAAGATTCTTTCTCTTTTTGTATGATTTCTACCTTCACCACTGCTTGGATTTCATCAGTTATGTATTTTTAGAACTGCAAAAATCTCACATCACTCCTCCTTCCCCTGCCGGAAGCCACATCAGAATGTAATATTCTAGGATATAGTATTTAATGTTCTGGTCTAAATATGAGCTACTTTTCCATTCCTAGACTGTACTTGGTTTTGCCTGGTGGTGCTGTGCCAAGGAGCTGGCAGACAGGAGGAAGAGATTTGCTGTTTGCTTCTACTCTCGTCTGGGAGTGACACGCAGCCGGGAGCATGAGAGAGGGGTCAGGAATCAGAGTTGGCCCCTTGTTTTGTTATCCATACACCCATGCTTATGGAGTGTAAAAGAGCTATATGGGGGCTTTACACTCAGCCTGCACTGGTGTCTATCATGGCCTGAGGAGAAAGGCAGAGAGGTGTTAAACCTGCCTACTTCCTGAATTCAGGAGAACTGAAAGACAAATATCCCACTCTTGGAGGCAGACTGAACATACATGGACAGAGTCACATCACTCACCCACATTAAGTCCAGCGAGGCGTTGCCCAGGGCTGAGTTGCCCCTGCTGTTTGAAGTTTGACAACAACCTGAGCTACCAACTCTGCCTTAACTGCAGCCACAGCCCCTTATGAATAATTCTACTTAATTACGGGTGAATGTCTGAAGCTGAAGCTACTTTATAATGATACAATTACATTTATATTCCTCAAATTATACCAGACTTTGGAGGGGATAAACTCTATTATTCTTCTGCAGCATGAGCTGGGATTCTGAATTATTTAGGCATCAGAGAACATCTGTCCAGAACCCCAGAGGCCATATCAGTTCCAGTGCAGTTCAGACCCCATCATCTGAATTCCACATCCACAAAACCTTCCCAGGACTGGAAACTGTTCTACCTGAAGAATGAGAAACTGCAACTGGAGACACTGCCAAATAGATTTTTCTTTTCCATTGGGCTGATATCTGGGAATAAAGCCAGCTGGAAGACTGCTGGAAGAAAATCTTGCTAACTCTGATCATATTTGCAATCAGTTTTTATGCCAGATGTTGCCTCAGAAAATATGAAAGTCAGCAGACAGTAGTTTTAATATGCAGCTTTGCAACTTGAAGAGGGCTGAGTTTTATATAAAGGAAAGAAAATGAAGTTTTGCTGCTTTCTTGAGGTGTACAGAGTCACTCTATGTAGCCAAACAAAATCATGTGGAAAGAACAGATGGGAATCCAAGAAGTTAACAAATGCCCTGTAACAAAAACCTACTGTGTAATAGAAAGACTTCTACAGATACTTTAATTTTGAAGAATAAATCAAGAGATGCCTGACTTTCTTAATTTAATTTTCAGAATTGATAGAGGAGAAGCTGCGAATAAATCAAGCTACTTTTTGGGAAATCCTGGAACATGAAGTTGTCATTGGAGAGAAAGAAGGGTTGAGTACAATGGGTGTTAGACAGGGACAGTTTCAGTTCTTTGCTCTGTCACTTTATTACTAAATAAAT